ACCAATCGTTTTTTGGTGACTATGGTCCCAGCTGCCTTGAGATCATTGACAAGATCCTCCCGTGTAGTTCTGGGCTGATTCCTCACCGTTCTCATGATCATCGCAACTCCACGAGGTGAGATCTTGCATGGAGCCCCAGGCCGAGGGAGATTGACAGTTCTTTTGTGTTTCTTCCATTTGCGAATAATCGCACCAACTGTTGTCACCTTCTCACCAAGCTGCTTGGCAATGGTCTTGTAGCCCATTCCAGCCTTGTGTAGGTCTACAATCTTGTCCCTGACATCCTTGGAGAGCTCTTTGGTCTTGGGCATGGTGGAGAGTTTGGAATCTGATTGATTGATTGCTACTGTGGACAGGTTTCTTTTATACAGGTAACAAGCTGAGATTAGGACTATTCCCTTTAAGCGTGTGCTCCTAATCTCAGCTCGTTACCTGTATAAAATACACCTGGGAGCCAGACATCTTTCTGATTGAGAGGGGGTCAAATACTTATTTCCCTCATTAAAATGCAAATCAATTTATAACATTTTTAACATGCGTTTTTCTGGATTTTGTTGTTGTTATCCTGTCTCTCATTGTTCAAATAAACCTACCATTAAAATTATAGACTGATCATTTATTTGTCAGTGGGCAAACGTACAAAATCAGCAGGAGATCAAATACTTTTTTTCTCTCACTGTAGAAGTGTAAGATGTAATGACGTATTGTTCGTAGCTCAGCTTATTGGAGAGTATATTGAGTATATTGATGATATTGATGTAGTTTATATTTTAATTTTGTATCGTTTCACTATATGGTAGTCATTATATAGTGTAGTGTATACTCAGTTACTTAATGTTGATAGCTCAACTTATTGGAGAATATATTGAGTACATTGATTATATTGAGGGCACCCTAATGGGCTCCCCCCTATCTCCGGTTATAGCTAACATTTTCATGGAGAAATTTGAGATTGACGCCATCCAGACTGCCACTCTGCGCCCAACCTTATGGAAGAGGTACGTGGATGACACTTTTGTCATCTGGCCACATGGCCGGCCTGCTCTAGACCAATTCTTCGACCACATCAATTCCATACACCCAGCCATCAGATTTACCATGGAAGTCGAAAAAGATGGCAAGCTACCTTTTTTGGATGTCCTAATCAAAAAGAAACCTGATGGTTCAATGAGCCACTCTGTCTAAAGGAAAGCTACCCATACGGATGCTTATCTGAAACCGGATTCCCACCACCATCCATCACAGAAGAATTCTCTCATCAAGACTCTGTACCATAGAGCCCAATGCATATCCGACCAGGAACACATAGGCAGTGAACTCAAGCACGTACACCAAGCTCTTAAGGCTAATGGTTACTCCGACTATACAATCCGCAAAGCTATCACTCAAACCATGAAGAAGAACCCTCTTGAGGAGCCTTTCAAAACCATAACTTTACCCTACATTGTGGGGATCACAAAAAAGATCTCCAAAATCTTGAATTAACACAAGATCCAGGTCCGTTTCAACACATTACCTAAAATCCGTGATCTGGTTCCGTCTGTAAAAGATGTGATTCCGGACATACAATACCCTGGTGTCTACAAACTAAGTTGCCTCTGTGGTAGTAGTTACATTGGAGAAACCAAACGCCTTGTCTCGGACCGCATTCGTGAACACAAAGCAGACCTTAAACACGGTAGGACCAACACCTCGGCCGTGGCAGATCATTGTTATAATTCAGTAGGCTCACATGACATTAACTTTTCCAAGACAGAGGTTCTTTGTAAGCCATCTGGCTACCATGAGAGATTCCTTCATGAGGCTATCCACATATACAAGCACAGAGACAATTTCAACCGAGAAGATGGATTCTGGCTTAGCAATCATTGGAAGATTTGATTAACCATTTCAGGTCTTAATTGATTGTTCACGCTTACAGTGACTTTCAGACAACATACATACATTTTTCGTCTCCTCCCTCCTCTTTTCAAAACATAGATGGACTAGTGGACTAGTCCTTCTAAATAAACTGCCAAATCGCTGCGCGTGGCGCTGACGTTTTTTATAAATAAATACAACGTTTAAAAATAAATTAATTAATGCAAACCGACACACCTGATGACGACCGTTTGTGTTATGGTCGAAACGTCGTTAGAATTTTATTGTTTTATATATATTTTATTATTTTATTGTTTCCCTTCAACGCGACTTGTAATCACATTACAACTAATTCCTAATCTACAATTCATTACTAATCATAACCATTGACTGATTACTAATCGATTACATAATTACAATACTCCCCCCCCCCTCCACCTCAAATCACTGCACCTGAAATGAGTTAAATGATGACGTCACCCTGCTGCTCTATTTAAGACTAGGAGCAAGCGAGGGCTTTACCATTCTGGCGAATTGTCCGATGATGCTGGATGTAATTACCAGCGAAACGTCGTACTCAAACTGTAAATGTTGTGGATTCACTCTTCAACACACCGGTGGGCTAAAGTAGTGAATTATTTGTCTTTTGTCAACGTGACACTTTTTTTTGGTGATTGCCCGTGTCGGGTGGTGGAGGGTTACGACACATTTATAAATAACGCGATCTAACCCAAAAACCTTTATTATGAAGGGTAGTGTATAGTAACGAAGTGTATAATTCAATGTTCGGTTCTGTCTATCGCACTTTATAATAAAATATTATTTGGAGGCATATAATATTAATTTTTGCGACAAAGAAGTGTAATGTATAATGACTTATTGCTAGAGATCCACTTAGTGGAGAATATATTGAGTACATTGATTATATTGATGTAGTTTATATTTAGTTCTTTCACATTGGTTTATTGTATGATAGTTGGGTAGTTGCAGTTCTTTAGCGTTAATATACTAAATTCTTCTGTTGATATGTAAATTATTTTGCCAAGGCACTCTGCTCTTCCCACCCAGCTTAAAATACGCTGCCAAGCTTAGCAGTGTTCATTGGAGCACTGTCTTTCCGATAGTTCTGTTTCTTCACCTGAGGATGGCTACTTGAAAAAAATCACTACTTTTCAAATTTTCTTGCTGTGGTATTCACACCTGATGATGATTGCTTGTGTTGCAGTCGAAACGTCGTGATAATTTTATTGTTTAATACTTTTTATTATTGTATTGTTTCCCTTCTACGTGACTTTACCGAAAGAACCAAGAATATAAGTTATTTTATGAATATGAAAGCCATGATATGTGCATCAGATCCCATTCCTACTCACTTATTCAAATACGTGTATTCCTGAATTAGTACAACAGTATCCTCAATACATATTTTAATTTGGTGCTTTTCTCAATGTCTTTAAGGATGCTGTAACTAAACCACTTCTTAAAAAGTAACATGGATCTTAAAGTGTTTTACAATTTAGTTATATTTCAAATCTTCCATTTTTAACAAAACATATATAGAGTGGTATCTAGCCAACGCCATATATTTATTTAATATGGCATCTTCCCTAACGCCTCCAAAGCTGCTATCATTCTATCCCTGCACACTATTGCCTTATTTTCTTGCTTTCCTTCTTTTCTAAACTCCTCGAACACCTAGTTTATCTGTCTTATTTGGCTCGACCTGTCTGCGGCTTTTTACACCCTTGATCACTCAATCACGCTCACTCTGGTCATAAGCTGCCGATCTTTTTGCTGTCCCTCCTCCACCTTGCGCTCAATCTCGCTATCACTTCTTCTCTCTGCTTTCCCCCTTACACTGGAACAAACTCCCCTCCACATCCGATTCTTCCCCTCACTCTCCTCTTTTCGCACTGCCCTCAGGTCCTATCTATTTTCTCTTGCATTTCCCTTCCTCTTCCACTACCCCTACTAGCACCACCTAATGCCCTTAATACCTCCACTGCCACAGCCTCAAACTCGCTCCTTCCACCCTAGTCACCACCCGATCTTCGTCCCTTATCTTGCCATTTTGTACTGTAGTTGGAAAGCATTGTTAAGCGTCTTGGTGAAAGGCACTTTATAAATACTAAATAGAATAGAATAAATTTGTATTTTCAATCTGGATCTTGTCCTGCTCACAGCACTGAAAAAGCACTTGTTAGAGGAGGAAATGGATATTTCTTCTGATTTAGGCTTACATTCCATTCTTACATGTCGATTTCCAAATTGATCGCTTTGATGATCTAGTGTGATTTTCATGAAGTGCCCTATCTCTGTTCAGATCTCATCTCTCAAATAGGCTTCAATTAATAATGATACCTATTCTCTCTCTGCTCGAAGTTGAAAAAAAAAACGAAATATGATTTGTGTGGGGTTATATGCGTTGTTTTTCAGGCTTCCATTGTTGGTCCGATTTTTTCTTTATATATGCTATTCTTTGGCTTTGTCATTTGCAGACATTAGGCACGTTTTCATTGCTATGCTGATGATACTCAGTTTAACATATTTTAAACCAGGCGACATCTTGGCCATACATACTCAACTTGTCTTAATTTTAATCTCGGACAAAATGGAGGTCATGTTTTTGGGATCCTGGACTCAACCCATTACAACAATCACTTCTGTATTGGGTAATTTTCCTTTATATTTCAGGATTAAGATGATACATTTTGGCTGCATTCTTCATTTTTTTATTTATTTGAGTAGCATATAAGAAATGTAAATGAAAGTATAATGTTTCACCTCATATTTCCAAACTAATACGTATTCTTTCTCTGTTAGGTGTTGAATGACTGATACAAGCTTGTTATGAGATTTAAGATTTATTATTGCAATGTTCTATGCTCAGGCACTTATAATCATGTTGTATCTCAGTTATATCCTGTAAATGCAAATGAGTCATAGCAAGAAATAAGAAATCTGAACACTTCAATTATTTCCTATCTTCTTGACATTGGCTTCTTGTGCAATTCTCTATTTACCTTAAGGTCGTTATTTTGAATTATAAAAATACCTAAAAATGCACTTGCTCCATTTTATCTGAGGGAATTGTTAACCAGAAATGTACCTAGTTGCTCACTGGAGGTAATATGGTGCAGGTTTACTTCGTGTTTCACTGGTACAAAGACGAATACAGGTCGCAAAGCATTCAACTCAAGAGCTCTGAAGCTGTGCAATGACCTGCATCCATCTGTGAAGAAGGCACCCTCTCCTGCGGTTTATAAGGTATAGGGTAAAACGAATGTTTTTACATAAGTTTTCGCACCGTAAGAAAATGTACCATTTTTATTTTGACGTTACATTTTTGCTTTAAACCCTAACATTTATTGCACGTTATGTATATATGTTTTAGTTTCTTCAGTGTACAGTGCTTTCAGATGTTGCCGTTCTGTTTTTAATGTAGATTTATCCACATTAATTTTTCGTGTTGGTCTGCATGTTGATAATGTCTTATCTCAAGGTTTTGCCACTCGTTGCTGCAGAAATGTTGAATTCGAGCCAAATTTAACTCCTGACGATGCCCAAAGCGTTCGGTGAGCGCTTCAGAAAGTAAATGATCCACAAGCAGCCCAACCTGAAAAACAGCACTTTCATTATAAACGACTTTAAAAAATTGTTGTATATATAATGAACGGTTATGTTCAATTATAAACGTTTCTAAACGGATCTCCGATTAGCATGCATGGCTACGTGAGTTGCGAAATAAGTTTAACGTACATTGTTATGTATTTTTTTATCATTGTTTTTATTCAGTGCATTGTTACAATTTTATTGCGAAATGTGCGATTTAAAGATAAAAAGTGACAAATTATTCAATCATTACCGAAATCCTTACAATCATCATGAATAATAATCATGATCAATACACTGCCAGATAAAACTCTTCTCACGTAATCGGCATCCCGAACTATCTTTCGATATCTTAATATATTGCGCTCCTGTAAATAAGATAAAACCTTCACCCCTATGTTACCTGATTTGGCAGCTATTCCATTACTAGTCTCGTCCATCAGCTATAAACTGTTCTGCTAAACAACACTTCAATTTCTCAAGTTAAATGATAGCATGCAATTGCCTTTTTTCTCTTAACGACACGATAGCTTACGTCTCTCAGTCTAATTCCAATCACGCATATCCCCATGCGTTTTCGTTGAGCTATTAGTTGCTTTTGCATATCCTTTGCGAGTGTCCATAGCAAGCAGTGTTAACTGGTTTAAAACTATACCTCTCAAGGCGCATGGATAATTAGCTTTTTATATTCAAATACAATCACTGGTCTCGCTTTTTTGGTGATGTCCACAATTATTCTATCTGATCTGGGGCCTTTGCTTTCTATACAGGGAACAGTGGTGGTTACTTTAGTGTAACATCTACAACTACTTTGTCTTCATCTGAGATCCTGATTTTATTATTCTATTGCTTGTGACGTATTAAATACGTTTTGTGTTTTGGTACCTTGAATTTTGGTTGTTATTATTCTATCGTCAGTTTTGTGTGGCACGTGATTATTTATCCTTATTCATTTCGCTCCTTTCTTCAAAATGTTTTTTTGTGGTTTCAGAAAACGTGTTCTCTATTTGCGTTTATTATTTTCACCCCAATATCACTCTTCACCCGAATGATCATGGCAGTAGTTATTGTATTACTTAAAAGCTAGACATCTGTGAAAAAGAGCTTAATGGCTCATCGGATTCCTCCAGTAAGAATACATATTCTGATTATGAAAACTTGCTAATCTACATAGTTTAATCTTTGTAAATTATCTGGTATCCTTTTTGTACATTGTTCCCTTTCATACTCTCTGGTTCTTTCGGTAAAGTCACGTAGGAATAAAATAAAATAAATCACGACGTTTCGATTGCAACACAAGCGGTCGTCCTCAGGCAGAAAAAATATAATCCAGCAGTGATACTGCTGAACCAGCGAGAGAGCAGTTACAACAAGGTTATATATGTGGCGATGGGCAAGCAAGCGGGGTCTGAGCTGGAAAGGAATTCCATCCACGGACGCAAGCACGTCGGTTGTGTTAATGGAGGAGATTAGGGAGAGAGGGGCTAGAGAGGGAGATTAGCATGAATGAGCTTCTGTCACCACATAAGAGGATCATGCCTGCATATGTGCACAACAGCAGTGTTATTGAGAGATTAGCACCATGAGAGTGCAATCCGAAGGATGTGAACATGAGAGTGCAATCCAAAGGGCATGTGAGCATGAGAGTGCAATCCAAAGAACATGTGAGAGATCTAATGGAGAGGCATAGAGCGAGAAAGACACAGAGAGTCGGAAATAACAGCTGACATAGTCAGGTAGGATGGAAACATTAAAGTCAGTTAAGACTTTACCTGGTTAATAACGTCAATCCAATGATTGCTCAGTTTGTACCCATATTCTCGGTTGAAGTTGTGTCTGTGCTTATTTATCAGGATGGCTTCATGAACAAATCTCTGAAGGTAGCCAGTAGGTTTGCAGAGTACCTCCGTCTTGGAAAAATCTATTTCGTGTGAGCCCACAGTGTTAAAAAAATGATCAGCAACGGCAGAGGTATTGGTTCTACCGTTTTTCAGATCTGCCTTGTGTTCACGAACGCGGTCCGAGACGTGTCGTTTCGTTCCACCAATGTAACTGCTGCCACAACCACAACTCATATTGTAGATACCAGGGTATTGCATGTGAGCAATCACATCTTTTACAGATGGGATTAAAGCACAGATTTTGTGTACTGTGTTGAAACGAACCTGGATCTTGTGTTTGTTTAAGATTTTGGAAATATTTTGGTAACCCCTCCTATGTATGATAAAGTGATCGTTTTGGTTGGATCCTCAGAAGGTTGTCTCCCCATGGCCGGGGAGGCAGCTTTGCGAATTGTACGGTCCGAGTATCCGTTCATCCTGAGGACTTGGTGTACGTGCTCCAACTTACTAGCTAGGTGGTGCTGGTCGGAGATGCAACGGGTCACTATGGTGTAGTGTTTTGATGAGGGAATTTTTCTGGCCTAGATGGTGGTGAGAGTCCGGCTTTAGATAGGCATCCGTGTGGGTGGCTTTCCTGTAGACCGAATGTCCCAACAAGCCATCAGGTCTCTTCTCGATCAAAACATCCAGGAACGGTAGCTTCCCATCATTTTCCAATTCCATGGTGAATTTGATAGATGGGTGTATGGAATTGATGTGGTTGAGAAATTGGTTCAGTGCTGGCAGGGCATGTGGCCAGATGACGAACGTGTCATCTACGTATCTCTTCCACAAGGAAGGACGTAGGGTGGATGTCTGGATGGCATCTGTTTCAAATTTATTGTTCAAAGCTAGCCTATAGCTAATCTCAGAGAGAAAAAGATTGTTCCGATTTAAACTTGATATAATTAGACAAGACTCTCTTACAATCACAATTAACATTAACAGATAAAATGTCCACTTCTGATTGGGACCATGTAGATAACATGACAGTCTCTTCTGCTACTTCAATGTCAACCAAATATAAAGTTTACTTGATCGCTAAATTCAACCTCCTGCAAAAAAAAAGCCAGAGCCACACGTTAAAAAGTTAGATGTTAACCAGATTGTCATCAATCAGAGTAACATCCCAATTTCTGACAGCCTAAAATCGGTACTAGCTAAACGGTTGAATTTCGCTGTCACCCCTAAACATATCCCAGTGGATGATATAATTGCCCAGGTCGATGTAGCCCTCAAACGATTGGGACACATCCCGGCAGACGTTGCTAGATCTGAAATCGCTGCTATCCTCAAAAACGCTAAGAAACCCATTAGCAACATCATCTAGGACGAGCGTTTTGAACTCTCTAAATAAAACAAAAAAACAGAGATTACATTGTCATCCTCTCAGCCAACAAGAGCAATGCCACTGTCATCATGGATAAAACCACTTACAACAACAACATTCAGGACCTTCTAAATGATGACAGCTATACCAAAATCAACAGAGACCCCACCAACCGCCTAGCCACAGAAACCAACAAGAGCATCACTAAATTGACTTCTCTGATCGATCAGACCAAGCAGAGCTCCGTAAAACCTTCGGCTGCTCGACCATCCAGATTTTATAGCCTTCCAAAAATCCACAAATAAGGTACCCTGCTCTGCCCAATTGTCTCCACCATTAACTCACCCACCTACAAACTGGCCCGATTTCTGTCTGAGACCCTGCTTCCTTTCACGGGCAAGTCCTCCTCAGCTGTACTTAACTCAGCTCACTTGGTTTCTCTAATCAAGGACATCTCACTGTCTCCAGATGATTTGTTTGTCAGTTTCTCTCTGTTCACCAATGTACCTGTACTTGAAACCATTGCAATCATTGAATAATTGGTCCAACAAGGACTGAATCCAGATGTACCAACTTTGGTAAGGCACTGTCTTACCAACACATACTTCACCTGGAATGGTACTTTTTACAAACAAAATGAGGGTATGTCAATGAGTTCTCTCTTATCGCCAGTGGTAGCGAATGTTTTCATTGAAAAATTTGAGACAGATGCCATCCAGATATCCAACCTACGTCCTTCCTTGTGGAAGAGATACCTAGGTGACACGTTTGTCATCTGGCCACATGGACTGACAGCACTGAACCAATTTCTCAACCACATCAATTCCATACACCCGTCTATCAAATTCATCATGGAAGTGGAAAAGGATGGCAAGCTACCGTTTCTGAATGTTTTGATCAAGAAGAGACCTGATGGCTCGTTGGGATTTTCGATCTACAGGAAAGCCACCCACACGGATGCCTATCTAAAGCCTGACTCCCACCACCATCCAGCCCGGATGAATTCCCTCATCAAAACACTACACCATAGGGCCCGTTGCATCTCCGACCAGCATCACCTAGCTAGTGAGTTGGAGCGCGTACACCAAGCCCTCAGGATGAATGGATACTCGGACCGTACAATCCGCAAAGCTGCCTCCCCAGCCATGGGGAGACAACCTTCTGAGGATCCAACCAAAACGATCACTTTATCATACATAGGAGGGGTTACCAAAATATTTCCAAAATCTTAAACAAACACAAGATCCAGGTTCGTTTCAACACAGTACACAAAATCTGTGCTTTAATCCCATCTGTAAAATATGTGATTGCTTACATGCAATACCCTCGTAGATACAATATGAGTTGTGGTTGTGGCAGGAGTTACAATGAGGGAAAAAAGAATTTGAACCCCTGCTGATTTTGTACGTTTGCTCACTGACAAAGAAATTATCAGTCTATAATTTTAATGGTAGGTTTATTTGAACAGTTAGAGACAGAATAACAACAACAAAATCCAGAAAAACGCATGTCAAAAATGTTATAAATTGATTTGCATTTTAATGAGGGAAATAAATATATGACCCCCTCTCAATGAGAAAGATTTCTGGCTCCGAGGTGTCTTATATACAGGTAACGAGCTGAGATTAGGATCACACTCTTAAAGGGAGTGCTCCTAATCTCCGCTTGTTGCCTGTATAAAGGACACCTGTCCACAGAAGCAATCAATCAATCAGATTCCAAACTCTCCACCATGGCCAAGACCAAAGAGCTCTCCAAGGATGTCAGGGACAAGATTGTAGACTTACACAAGGCTGGAATGGGCTACAAGACCATTGCCAAGCAGCTTGGTGAGAAGGTGACAACTGTTCGTGCGATTATTCTCAAATGGAAGAAACACAAAATAACTGTCAATCTCCCTCGGCCTAGGGCTCCATGCAAGATCTCACCTCGTGGAGTTGCAATGATCATGAGAACGGCGAGGAATCGGCCCAGAACTACACGGGAGGATCTTGTCAATTATCTCAAGGCAGCTGGGCCCATAGTCACCAAGAAAACAATTGGTAACACACTACGCCGTGAAGGACTGAAATCCTGCAGTGCCCGCAAGGTCCCCCTGCTCAAGAAAGCACATATACATGCCCATCTGAAGTTTGCAATGAACATATGAATTATTCAGAGGACATTTGGGTGAAAGTATTGTGGTCACATGAGACCAAAATGGAGCTCTTTGGCATCAACTCAACTCGCCGTGTTTGGAGGAGGAGGAATGCTGCCTATGACCCCAAGAACACCATCCCCACCGTCAAACATGGAGGTGGAACCATTATGCTTTGGGGGTGTTTTTCTGCTAAGGGGACAGGACAACTTCACCGCATCAAAGGGACGATGGACGGGGCCATGTACCGTCAAATCTTGGGTGAGAACCTCCTTCCCTCAGCCAGGGCATTGAAAATGGTTCGTGGATGGGTATTCCAGCATGACAATGACCCACAACACACGGACAAGGCAACAAAGGAGTGGCTCAAGAAGCAGAACATTAAAGTCCTGGACAGGCCTAGCCAGTCTTAATCCCATAGAAAATCTGTGGAGGGAGCTGAAGGTTCGAGTTGCCAAACGTCAGCCTCGAAACCTAATGACTTGGAGAAGATCTGCAAAGAGGAGTGGAACAAAATCCCTCCTGAGATGTGTGCAAACCTGGTGGCCAACTACAAGAAACGTCTGACGTCTGTGATTGCCAACAAGGGTTTTGCCACCAAGTACTAGGTCATGTTTTGCAGAGGGGTCAAATACTTATTTCCCTCATTAAAATGCAAATCAATTTATAACATTTTTGACATGCGTTTTTCTGGATTTTTTTTGTTGTTATTCTGTTTCTCACTGTTCAAATAAACATACCATTAAAATTATAGACTGTTTATTTCTGTCAGTGGGCAAACGTACAAAATCAGCAGGGGATCAAATATTTTTTTCCCTCACTGTACATTGGGGAAACGAATCGACAAGTCTCGGGCCGCGTTGGTGAACACAAGGCAGATCTGAAACACGGTAGGACCAATACCTCTTCCGTTGGTGATCATTGTTTTAATGCTGTGGGCTCACACGAAATAGATTTTTCCAAGACGGAGTTACTCTGCAAACCTACCGGCTACCTTCAAAGATTTGTTCATGAAGCCATCCAGATATATAAACACAGACACAACTTCAACCGAGAATATGGGTACAAACTGAGCACTCATTGGAAGGACGTTATTAACCAGGTAAAGTCTTAACTGACTGTGATGTTTCCATCCTGCCTGCCTATGTCAGCTGTTTTTTCCGACTCTTTGTGTGGTTCTCTCTCTATGCCTCTCTCTTAGATCTCTCACATGCCCTTTGGATTGCACTCTCATGCTCACATGTTCTTTGGATTGCACTCTCATGCTCGCATGTCCTTTGGATTGCACTCTCATGCTCACATGTTCTTTGGATTGCACTCTCATGTTCACGTCCTTTGGTTCGCACTCTCATGGTGCTAATCTCTCATTAACCCTGCTGTTGTGCACATGTGCGGGCATGATACTCTTCAGTGGCGACAGAAGCTCATTCATGCTAATCTCCCTTCATAATCCCTCTCTCCCTAATCTCTCCCATTAACACAACTGACGTGCTTGCGTCCGTCGATGGAATTCCTTTCCAGCTCAGACCCCGCTTGCTTGCCCATCGCCACATATATAACCTTGTTGTAACTGCTCTCTCGCTCGTTCAGCAATTTCACTGCTGGATTATATTTTTTCTACTTGAGGACGACCGCTTGTGTTGCGATCGAAACGTCGTGATTTATTTTATTTTATACCTACGTGGCTTTACCGAAAGAACCAGAGAGTTTGAGAAAACTAAATGTAGCAATTTTTTTGGAAATGTAATGTAATGCAACACAGCGTCGGCTAACACACAGTTAATGCAAATCCTGGTTGATTACGATCTCCAAATAATATTTTACCAGGCTCTCATAGGGCCATTCGATCTTCTTCTTTCCCTCGGTCGCTTCGTGGTGGATTCTTTGACATGATAATTTCTCTTATCCAGCAGCAGCCACCAGCAGTCCCACCTCTATCTCTGCCCAACACACCCCCCCCCCCCCCCCCCCCCCCCCCTCTCAATTTAAGGCCTCGACACAGAGGCATTGGGTCTCTGTGTGTCTATGTTGTGTGTCTCTCTCTGTGTCTGTGTTGTCTATCTCTGCTTGTGTGTCTGTCTGGGTGTTTCCGTGTCTGTGTTTTGTCTCTCTCTCAAATTAAATTCTACCTGATGACGGTTGCTTGTGTTGCAATCGAAACGTCGTACAATATTATTTCATTTATTTTCTTTCTACGTGACTTTACTGATAAGAGGTTGTTCAGCTTAATTGCTGAACAACCTCTTATCAGTAGACATTTGTCGTACCTTGTGTCAAAGTGCGTTTCTTTCATTCAGAAGTAAAAACATGTAAGCAGATATCCGTATTATATTTCCACGTAAATACAAATATGATTCGTCCCTCAGCCTTTTCGCTTTCTACATGAATAGTATTAAGCAGCATTTGTTGAATCAGGCATACTCTGGACCTACATCGACCTTCTGTTTTTTCAGCAGATTCAGCATATTACATAATTTGTACGTCTGCCTCTGCCCATTGATCAAGATGAATGCCACTCCACACTCGTTTGGAGTGGGAAAACACTTTAACTGTTAGGACACGCTTTACACAATGCGGTATTGTTGTTAAATCTGGCATGTGTGTTTGTGTTTGCAGCGAGAATGATAACATCCAATACCACTTTGGGTGTCAACATTTCCGACGACAGCCAGCTTACAATTCGGCCAGAAACCACGGCTGAAATTTTTTCTGATATTTTAGTCATAATTACCATGGTACCATCCACATTGTTTGCATGTTTAATGACATTTACATTTTTTTGTGAAGTTAAATTGAAAGAAAACTCTAAATACATATTTTTTATAAACTTGGTTATTAGTGACAGCATTTTTTTATTCATCGTTGACGTTTCTTCTATTTTGTTTATATTTAGGGCTAGCTTTAATGTTGGAGGCTGCTCCTTCTATATCAATTTTTATCGAGGATTATTCAATAATGGAGTCGCTTGCATCTCCTTAATGGCCATAGAGAGATTTGTTGCCATATGCCACCCATTGCGTTATCACAACATCTTTAACCAAAAATCTACTCTCAGATGCCTTGGTATTATTTGGTTTATTTCATTCTTTTTTCCTGTTGTAGAAATTATATTTATGGTTACAACTGATAACTTGGCATTTCAACGTGAGATTGTTGCATGTGAAGAAGTCAATAATTCTATTTTTGAAAAAAATTATGTAATTATTGAATACATTAGGAATTGTGTGTTTGTGTTATTTTTTTCTGGGAGTTTTGTTATTCTTGTAAGCACATATGTTTTGGTTGTAAAAGTGGCTAAGCAAGCCGCTTCTCGTGAGTCTGAGGCATCGAAAGCCAAACAAACTCTTAGGCTGCATGCACTCCAGTTAATATTATATATGAGTGCTTTTCTAATCCAACCATTTCAAACTTTAGCAGATCTAACTGTGAACGACTCTGACGTGAGGTATATGTTAAAAACATTTTTTTATTTTGTATGTTTGTCAGCCCAAGATTTTTTAGTCCATTCATTTACGGACTGAGAGATAAGGATGTTCGCCGGTATCTAAGACGGAGGGTATGTTGTGGTCAAAATGTATTGAAGGTGAACCCAGAGCACACAATTTCCCATGAACACGCGTAATTATGCTCATATTACCAGCATTTTATTCAATTGAATTACTCAGCAACAAAATCACCCCAACCGCAAAAACTTGGAAGGATCCTTCTGAATAATATGTTTTGAGATTCCTGGGTCAACAAGAATAATAAAAGTAGCCTATGCAGACTTATGCCTCTATATAACATAAGGACAATTACATGTACAGTAACTCCTCATTTAACACGGTAGACGCATTGCTGAATGTTCTGCGTTCAGAAAAAAATGTGTTCAGCAAAAACAATTTCCGCATAAGTAATGTAACGACAAATTTTGGCAAGATATGATGTACGCACATACATTAAGATTGCAAGACAAATAACTGAAGGTACGCCACCGCGTTACTGTATCATATTACTCTGCCGCGCAGCTCAAGCAAGTAATTCGTTGTCGACCGCTCAGAAACCGCGTAATAACGGTGTGAATTTCTGCGTTATAATTGAGTACATTCCGTGTTGTGTGAAAAGTGTTCTTGAATGAAAGAACTGCATTATAGAGAAAACGCATTGTGTAACCACACGTTCAGCGAGTACTTGCGTTATTGTAAAATATTGTGTTTAATTTCATGTAAATGTTGAGATATTATTGATACAGGTTGGAGGGCTTTCTACAAAGATACGAATTCCTTCAATGTAATGTGAAAAAAATGTATAATAAAACGCGTGAATAATTTTTTTAATATCGGTGTTCGTGCGATTTTATTAACATGCTGCATTTACTGCTTGTTTTTTTATATCGGTTACTGATCCATAATTTGTGTATTCTTTTATCAATAATGTTATAAAAGACACTTGCATTTGTATGTGTATATAACTTTAAGGAATATAAATTCTTGAACATTCACCATTTCTTCTCAGCCCACGTGTGAGTGTACAAGGATTTGTATTCCGTAGTGGTATCAACATCATACAACCCTCTCAGCCGCATCCTATATTGTACCGTTATTGCAAATGGTGTGTCCAAGAAGGCCATTATTCATTGGATCAAGAAGATAGAAGTGTGAAATTTCCAGCTTATGGAGGTGAGGAAGCACAGTTTATCCAGTACAATTTGTGGCATCTGTTGCCATGGTAAAGTAGGTATCACGCAATGTAGTTGCATGAGGAGAGGTGATACGATCCATCATCGCAATAGAAAGAGGTTTATGTTGGTGTCCTCCTGCAAAAAGGAGGAACACAGGGGTCCAAAGGGGGATGCGTCTCACATGCAAATCGACGTTAACGTGACCTTCTGGAAAAGGGGTGTTGGACGCTGACCATGACCGCCTCAAACCCTATGTCTGCATCCACCCATTAAGGTTTTACTCTGGATGAATAGGGGCAGGTAGTGGTTCATCATTATTTCCCACATCACATTGGCGTGTCCCTACCCTGGGTGTCGGGCAGTCGGCGTGCAAGGAGCCTCCGAGGACCCGGAGCATCTGGATTAGGAGCACACTCGTGTGCACGTTTAATGGCCATCAGGCTGGGTGAAGTGAGTGAAGTGTGAGGAAATATTGGGTTACTGGCTGCTATAGTCCTCTTTAGTGCATTACATATTTCAAATGTGGTAACCACCACTTGCACTGATTCCGTGCACTCCCACAGATTCCCTCACTCTCCGATGGATCGTCACGATAGAGTGCCTGAGCCCACACAAGGACGTCCAGCGGTTCATATGAGTGTCGTCGTAGTGAGGAGTCGATCTTGTCACGACAGAACAGGTCTTGTTCTCATATGCTCCCAGATTTGCCCTTGCAGTTAAATATTATTTTCCTTTTTTAGCACATCCTATGTGGTGGACTCTGAATCAGGCACGCCCGGTGTTGGACACCATCTCAAACACACTATTTTTTTTTAAACTTCATTTTGAACGGTTTTGGCTCTTGTCGTATACGCCAGATCCCTTTCTCTCTCAATTGCACACGTCAATTGCGGCGCCTCTCTAGTTTTTACACAGAAACACAGGTCTGTTCTTGAGATGTCTTCTTGGCTTGTCTATCTTTCTCAAATGGTTCTGCACCCATCCTTATATAAAGACGAAAACACAGCAGATGACTTCACTGACATGATGTGTACGATGCGAGTGCAAAAACGGGCAGTCAGGAAGCAAAACAAGGTCTCTGATTGGTGCCCCTAATCTGGGAGAGATCACGTAGGGTGGATGACAGAGAAAGGGGAGGTACAGAGAGGCTTGGGAGAGAATTAGCTCGAGGCAGAGAATTGAATATATTGGAGGTAAGATACAAACGTAAAGGGCAGGAAATGAAGGTGGACTGGCAGGGGAACGGTTGCAAACCGTTGGACAAGAGGACTGGCATTTGCTGAAGGATATAGATCGAAGGAACCTTCGAGAAAGAGGGCTCGAGGGATATAACAAGGAGAAGCACACGGGGAGGGGTTTCTTGGAGAGAAGACGAAGTTCGTTCATGAAAAATAGAGCTCATGGCTGAATACAATGTTTTGACAATAAAGGCTCTTAATAATTTGAAGAACATGTGTCAGTCGTCATTACACTCATATACTCTCATGGGCTCTAATATTTAGCGCAGTAATTCCCTCCAGCCAGAACCAGCTGGAGCTGGTCTTAATGAAAACACGTGCAGATTGACTTGTCAACCAATGAGAGCACTAGCAATTTAAATATGCTTACAAGATGCTGCCTCATGCCCAATCAGAGCCCAGCAGCATGATTCAGCAAAATAATGCTGGGAGGCTATGGTTAGCGGACTCCAAGTGGGCATACAATTGGACACTGCAGATATGGTCTTCGCTGCTCGACAGATTCAAGAAAAATGTCGGTAGCAGCATCAAGAACTATTCTTGGCATTCATCTACCTAACCCCCTCATCCAGGAAGCCCATTGGAGTAGCTTCCAATGCCTTGTTTGTCCTGAGAAGATTTTCACCATCCTGCAGCTCCTGCCCGATAACATGACTGCCACCGTGCTGAGTGGGGGATCTGAAACGGATGCCTTTCAAATCTGAAAAGGTGTCAGACAGGGTTGTGCGATCACCACCACCAACAACAACAACCGCCATTCACCACGAAGTGGCAATGACGTCACCACGGCGTTTGTCCCAGGCTATGTGCACGTTAAGGCCACGTGAAGTGTTGAATACTTGCTGGAAGGAGGTCACTGGACAGACCCATGTGCCATGGGTTTACTGACTTATATGACTGGCTGATTCACCAGTTGTGCTCCCAACTGTGCCAACTGACTATGTTTTAGCCGCCCGGCACTCCGCTCATTGTGAGCATTGCTCCTTTGCCTTCTGTTGTTTCTGGAGGGCGATTGCCTCCAACTGCCCAGTAGCGTCCTTCACGAGGGTCCTCCACAGAGTCTGATCTTGACACCGCTGGTACCAATCATCGGCAAGTCCACTTAGCTCCACGTCCTCCTGTACCACATCACTCCATCTCTTCTCTAGCCCGTGCTGCGCCCATTTAGCCTCCTATATCCAGCCGAACAAAAGCTGTTTAGGCATGTGGTGGCTGGGCATGCAGGCTACATGACCCAGCCATCGCAGCCTTGCCTGCCGGAGGAGCTCACCCATGGGACCTTGTCCAGATCTTTCAAGGATTTGTGAGCTCCTCACACAATCCAGCCTGGTTAAACTCAGGATTGATCGTAGACAGCTCAGCTGAAATGTTTCTAACCAGCGAAGGTGTTCCATTAGGGGGATCCAAGTTTCGCAAGCATTGAGAGTGGAGGGTATGACCGTGGCCAAAAAGACCCGAAGCTTCATGTGGAGCGACAGACCAGGCACCTTACACGTAGCGTTATGCAGCCGATTAAAAGATAATTCCGCTCGACTGATTCAGAGTGAGACCTCTGCTATCAAACTAAGTACACTGCCCAGGTATGGAAAACTCTCCACTCTCTCCACAACTATCCCAATACCAATGGGGTGATGAGGGGGTGAAGTGTTTGATGCAAGGCCGTAATTATAATATATTTGGGGGGACACATCCTCCCCAATATTCAAATATGCTCAAAATGTCCCCCCAAATATATTACTATAAAATAGATTTCTGTTTATATGATTGTGGTTATGGTTGTACTTTATAAATCCCTAATCTCTGCCATTACATACAATGAAACGAGAAAAGAAAAAGCAGAGCAATGTAATACAATACCCTATTAAACATTATTGTAAAAAATAAATAAAAAGTCCATCCGATGTGTTAGTGAATTTTTTTAAATATTTTAGTCATGAAATTCGTTTTCAAATGTAGATTTTTTCTGGGGGTAGACTACCAGACCACCTGGAAGATTTGGTCCCCCCAATGTTGACTCTTTGGCTACGGCCTTGGTTTGATGGCACAAAAAACCCAGGCAGGTGCTTAGTTTTGGTGGGGCTGATGATAAGGCCCCATCTCTTCGTGGCACGCTCCAGGTTCAGCCATCATTTCTTATTCTGAGTGACCAGCAATCACCAGATAATAAGCATACATAATATCGTTGACCAATAGGGAGCCATCCCTTGACTTTACTCGGACATCGATCAGCCTCCCATTATATCTGTACCAGATGGAGATTCCTCCAGTACAGCTATTGAAGGCTTCAAGAACTAAACTTGAAAGGTCCTTAATTATCGTGAGCAGAGAGTCAAGGACTCTGAAAGCACGAAGAACAACCCAGAGCCCAGGCCTTTTGATGGTATCATATGCATTGACCATGTCAATAAAGCAGGGTTGTAGATTTTTGTATTTGCCGGGTCTTGAAAATTTTAATAAAAATAATAACATTAAAATTAAAATTGGGGAAATGCGTAAGTATCCGAATTTATGATCATTTATGCAATTCTGCACGTGAATTATGCTAATTAGGGAGGTGTAATCGCATTAAGTCATGCAATTGCATGCGGTTATGCTAATGCAAGCCGTTATGATAATTAGGCTCTGCCTCATTGTCGAGGGTCGTATTATCAGTCGGGATCATACAATGAATTGTATGAAGTTATGCAGGTGTGATGTAAGTATGCTAGATTAAGCTCGCCTTTGTTGTCTAGAGTCGTATTATCAATCGGGATAATACAATTATTCTCGCTTTAACATTTACTGATTATGTCTTGGTGTGTTTATGTGAGGTCTCCAAATTCAAATCTCACCGCAGGATACAGTTCTTATAATTAAGATTATTATGCACGAACTTAGGAAGGCACCACTCAGACACTTCTGTGTTAAGCAATTTTAATTTCTAAACAAAAACATATGAAAATCAGGTTTGGATTCTTATTCAACAACAAATGCTGCATTTGACCTGCCTCTTATATAGTTAATGCTACCATCTTGCCCCCATTTGTTTGACACCATCTCCCACCTTGATTCTAAATATACCTTACGTCTCTTTCATTATAGCTCCCCACTCGATTTGCTCATTTCAAAGGTCCTCTTTAAAAAATCCACCACATAACCTAAACTAGTTCCTCTAACTCTCCCGGAGCATCAAACGTATTCCTCATTTCTATCAAACATTCCATCTGGTAAAAAAATATATTTCCATGTTGCTACTCCACATTTCTGGAATACCCTTGCTGGTTACACAGCTTGGATCTCCCTCTACTTTCCCTTTTATTTTAGACAATGCAGGCCGTACTTGCACACGTGCTAACTCTGCCTCTTGTTTGCAATGTATTTTTTTCGATTTACGTGTTTTTAAGACTTACATACCTCACGTTGTACAGTATTCCTTG